TTACAGCAATTGCTTAAACACTGAGCTATCACATTCATCGTCTAATGGATTATATCAATAATTAACATAGTATGCAAAATAGGAAAGTCCTTTATTCTAATCTCTCAATCTGTATGTGACAATGAGGTCACTGGCACCAAAAATTTTGATTTTTATGTTTGATGGTAGCAAATAATTTTGCTTGTTGTATGTTCACACATTATTTACACAACATAGAGCTATGCTGCAACAGCAACTGGAAGGGACGATGCTCCCACAGAATACAAACGTAAAATGTAGCAAGTTGTTGCTGTGTATCCTATTTTCAGTGCTAAGAACCAGAGACACTTAATTTTTCGTGGCATTTCATCTTATTAACAGAGATGACAAGCATCTGCATTTTGATGATGTAAGTCTAGGTCTATGGTCCAAAGCATTAACTTCTTCATTTGTCGTGGACTGTGCCCGTTTGTCATCCTTCCATAAATAAAAGCAAGCCAAGTGCGAGTCAGACTCTCGCATGAAGGGTTTCATACCATCGTAAAACACGTTTCTAGTAGGGGTCTAGTAGTCTTTCCCTTTAATTTTTAATATATTTTAATGTTTGTTATTTGATGTTATAGCGGCAACAGAAATACACATTCTGTGAAAATTTCATCTGTCTACCTATTATGGATCATAAGATACAGTGTGCTGACTGACAGATGGAAGGACGTACGGACAGCGGTGGCTTAGTTATAGGGTCCCGTTGGTTACCCTTTGGATACAGGACCCTAAAAATTATATTATACTTCCGCAGCTTTTAAACATCCAATACTAAACATGCACCTCTAACATTCTCCTTCATAATTATGATGTTGGACCATCGAGCTGAAAACCATTATTATTGTAAAAAAATTTAAGTAGATAACACAAATTTCTAATGAGCATGAATCGCTGATTGCATTATGCACCATGAAATAATCTCTTGTAGCTTACAGGCTATAATTGCAAGTTTCTGTCTGCAGATTTTAATGTGATCAACAGCAGCAGAAAATAGTAAGAAATATGTATCTCTAGGGTCTATCTAAATGTACACACATTATACATAATATACAACATGTAACAAAAACCCTGTGGTTTCCGTCAAGTGCGCATTATCAGAGTCAGTATTCAAACGTAGAGAAATAACTTTTTTTCAAAAAACTTGAACATAAAAAAAATATTTTAATCAAAAGAAATTATTTGCGAATTGTATGTGGTTTTATCTTTTATTACCTATACATTATATGGAGAATAAAAGGATTGTGAAAGACCCCCCCTTCACCGATGCTCGTATCAGGTAGAGGTAATTGCACACAATTTGCAAATTATTTTTTTTAAATTAAATTTTTAACGTTCAAGTTTTTAAGAAAAAAAGTTATTTCTTTACGTTTGAATACTGACTGATAACGCACTTATAGGGAACCACATAGTTTTTGTTACATGTTGTACAGAGAAGACGAAGCTAAACCAACCAACATTAAAGCTTTGCTTTCACACTTGACTTTGACTGGTTTTTGAGAGAAGTCTTTAGATAGGAACCCTGTAGATGGGTGTCTGTCTATGTATAACTACATAGGCAGACAGACATTTTTTTGTGTGCAAGAATATAATATTTTAAAAACAAGTGACTAACGAACTTACAATCCATCAGATGGTAAGTGGTTACTGCAGCCCATGGACACTTCAAATAAAGATGGCTACTGTGTTCTCTCACTTCTGAGTACTAAGATAGACGCTTCATAGCCTGTCTTATATTGGCTCTATAATTTTCAGCCCGCGACACAACAGTGCACGCGATACTATTTTGCTGCAGAAATAGGTAACCTACGTAGACGGATTACTGGGTAGTAAAGGAATCTTACCCCCTAATATAGTGGTAATTATTTGCTTTCTAAGTTTTTAAAATATATTCTCATAAATATGCAGTCTATGCACGGTAATTGCTTTAGTAGTTCAGAGGCAAGCGTTCCCCGTAAAAGTAACCCGGGTTTGAGTCCCGTCGGCACTAATGTAATTGATGATTGCAATTAAGTGGTGATTTACCACGTGCTCGACGGCGAAGGAAAGCAAATTGAGGAAACCAGCAAGTCTCTGAAACTTCAAGTCTCAGGAATAATAATATTTCGCAGTCATGTGAAGTCCGCCAGCGCACAGATCAAGATCAGCGATCTAATTAGCTACTCCTTAATCTCAGTTATGAGAGGAGGCATGTGCCTAGCCGTGCGACGTATAGGTATAAGCATAGGCAGTAACTTCACTTTTTTTAACTTAGTTACCGTAACGTTACTGCCTATTAAAGTCTACTGCTGAACATACGCCTCCCCTTTAAATTGTCTCTTAGGGCGGATATTTGCCATAGTTGCCACGCTTGGCAAGCGGGTTGGCAACCGCAGTTTTTTATTTTTAATCGTTATTAGGAACACGCTGCTGCCCATCTCCTGATAACATACGTAGTGATTGACTTTTTATAGAACACCAATCTGAGGTTCTCGAGGTAAGAAGGTAATTGGCTATTCTTGTTCATCGGCGCCGTTTAAGTTAACTGACTTTAAATCACCACGAAAATCTGATTAAAAATTTACCTAAAGGTTATGACAATAAAGTTAAGTTTTAATGAAATTATATTATATCTAACATACCAAAGAGTAGAATACCCATTGTCTGTAAAACGGCATATTATTATGATTATCAGCATATGCATGATTCCGTTTGTCATTGCAATTTACACCTTCTTAGCTTTGAAATAGGAGTTTTGATCGGTGGCATGGATAATGTGATGGTAGTTTTTATAGCATATAGTATTGAATTGCAGACTGAATACCAAAGCGACACGGTCTCATAACGAACGATGCGTGTACGCGACGGCTTTGTGAAACTGGAATTCGATTTGGGGCGGGACGCGATATTAGATGACCGACGTTCATAATATGACTATTGTTTTTAGTGAGGTTAAATTACATTAATTGTATTCTGTGCATTTTATTGTTAATGTTTTTCTCAAAAGCATGTTATTTTTTTTTCTCGCACGAAACCGTACCTAACATCTACCCTTCTACAAACGTTAACATATCTTGCCTGCGGTAGATATCTACTAATTAAGACCAAAATTTTATAGATTGATAATATATAGGCAGCAGAATTCCGTTCATCGGGTATTACCTCGTGAGAGAAAGAAGAAAGCTGTATTTCGAATGTAATATTTCGAGAAAATTGTGAAGTATACAACACAGAGCAAGAACAACACGGCGGATAAATTGCTCTGAAACTCTCATTGAGATTGCCATGAATTGAGAGGAGGACAGTGCTTAGATGTGGGACGTTAGGCAGTAACATTGTGGCGGTGACATTAACATGCGGTGGTTCCAGTTTTCGCTTACCAACCCTCTTGGTCAACTTGGTATGGACAATGCAATTTTATCCGTGGCAAAGCCACGCTACAGCTATATTATAGTTGGTGATTGTAGCACGAATGGGTCGACTCGACCGGAGAAGTACCACGCTTTCACAGAATACCAGCGTAAAATAGCTTCTGCTATTTGCTGCTTGCTGTGTTTCTTATGGTGAGTGTAGAAAACCGGAGACCCCTTTTTACTGGAAACGAAGTATTCCATCTTTGCCCTCAGGAGTGACAAGCATCTGCATTTTGATTCTTAGCTGAGGATAAATGTTGATGTCTATGAGCCACAGAAACCATTGTCCAGCGTAGCGAGTGTGGGCTATTCTTCCAAGTTATACTTGACTATTGGCTCATGTGGAAATAGCTATGATCAGTGCTAAAAAAGATCGACAATGCGATTAACACTGTAATCTGTCTATTACCTCTAGACCTCTAGACTAAAGCAGTGATTCCCAACCAGTGGTCCGTCCGCAAGACCTTAAATATGGTTCGCGAAAGATTTAAATATTTTACTTTACTACTAATCCTTTTAAATAACACATTTATTATTTTCTCGTTCAAATTATAATACTGTGAATGAATGATTCTTTTCAGTTTATCGTTTAATTATGTTAAAAGTTGTGATTAAAATTTATTGTTACTTTAACATACCTAGGAGTTTTTTCTTTCACCTTGTGGTCGCTGCTAACAACAAAGAAATCAAAGTGATCCCTGGTCAAAAAAAAAAGGTTGGGAAACCCTGCTCTTGAGCAAGGTGTACCATATGCAAGTGACATTTACCTTTTTAAGTTATTCCTTTAACTTGTTTCCACTTTTACCTATGAGGACTAAGATAGAATGCCTCTTTTCCAGTAAAAAGGGTCTCCGGTTCCCTGCACTCACCATACGAAACACAGCAACGTTAAGCTGCTACTTTACGCTGGTATTCTCTGAGAGCGTGGTACTTCCCCGGTCGAGCCGACCCATTCGTGCTACAACTATACTACTAATATAGCTGCAGCATGGCTCTACCATGTAAGAAACCTACACAAACAAAGGACACCGCTGCGTTTAAAACGTGAACTAATTCCAACAGAACGCTCAAAATTCTTAGAAATTTGATCGATACGGTCGTTACCAATACATTCCACGCCATTTGGGCCGGGTCCGCTAACTTCTGTATAAACAAAATTCTCATTTGCATATTGCCACACAAACCATACGTTCTACTCGTAAGTTTAAAGCGGCAAAAATTAGAAGACAAGTGTTCACTTGAGATATCGTCTGCACTTTGCCCGTTTGAACTTGACAACATAAAGTGCTTAGTGTCTTCAAGCTTTTAAACAAGGCAGGGTCTGTAAGTGATCTCATATGGCGAGAGACCGCGTCATCGGCGGACGCTTTTTAGTAGAGCCTTCCACATTTGAATATTTACGTTCAATAGGTACTACATAAGTTTGAATAACATTAGTGATTGCCAGTTTGTAATGCAAATTAGGGTTAAAAAAAAACTAAGTTACATTTAGGTAACTTTTAAGTTATTTACAGTGATTGTGTAGTTTTGGATTTTTAAATGCTTTTTTGTGAGTGTTTGTAATAATTAAAAAATTTAAATTACACGATGAAATTGGATAACTTGGGATTTGAGAAATTACAGGTCCGTATTTTTCACTCCTTATATCTTATATATATTATTATATTATGGTAAACCATATTGAGTCATGAGTTTTGTCGACCGAAACATACAATTACACAAATTAGATACATAACTAAATCTAGCGCATATCACAGTCATTAGTCACCAGCAAGTTGTTATTCGTCAAGGCGGTACAGAATGCCATAGACTGATTGTATTAATAACACCTTTTTGTAGTTATGTAGTTAATGTGACAGCTTTCTTATGTAAGTGTTAGAGTCACGCTGCCTTAGAGCGTATTATGACTACGGCAAGAATAGGTCGACTCGACCGGGGAAGGAGTACGTGAGCTTAGTATACCAGCGTGAAATAGAGGATAGATGTAGATGTCTATGGGCCACAGCATCCACTTACGGTCAGGTGGACAGTGTGCTCGTTTGTCACCCTTATTCCTTAAAAAAAGCTTCAGATCCCTGAGCCCGATATAATACTCCCTAGATAGTGCTAGGATGCACACACAGAAACATTGGGACAATAAAGACACATTCACACGGGAAATGAAATGTAAGCTTTGACTGAGTTACATTTAATCCAGGATCTGCGACACGACGAGTGTACAAACCAAGAAGAATCAAGAATTAAATAGTACATTGATGCAAGACAAAAAAAAAACAATTCGTGTTGCCAGTGCCACACACCCTATTATTAAAATTAATAGCATAAATAGATTAATAGCAATTAAATCCGGTGTTACCTACATACCGAAAAATGTGTAACACAATCCATACCAATAAATGAAACTGACGTGTCTGTTTCTAATGTCGAAATAATAGCTTTTTACTAAATACTAATGAAAGTATATACGGTGTTTATCACACAAAAATAATGTTTAAAACATTTGTTTGTCTGTCTGTCTGTTCCGGCAAATCTCCGAAAAGGCTGGACCGATTTTGACGGGACTTTCACTGCCAAATAGCTGATGTTAAAATGAATAACTTAGGTCTCATTTTAATTTAGAAAAAGAGGCTACAGCGCAAAAATATTAAAACTCATAAAATTCATCGTAATAAATTTCACGCGGATGAAGTCGCGGGGAACAGGTAGTATTTTATAAAACAGTTGTACTATCTAATACATTAGCTGGCATAACTTAATTATACTCATTCTTAGCAGTGCGTCATAAAGACAGACCAATTAGAATTACTTGGACAATTTAAAAGTTGTAAAAAAAAAACTGTATTTTATAGGGTCAAAACAAACGTGCACACGAAATATTGTACTCTAGTCTAGGCATCGTGGCATTATCGAGTGGGTGCGGGTGTTAAAAATTGTGTTTAATTTCCAGTGTTATGAACACAGTATTTTGCTTGATCAGGTTTGACAAAGGATATGGGATATCAATTTTGAATGTCAGTTGTGCTGTGTGTGACCTGTGAGTGCTTGAGAGATTACCGACAAAATTTCCATCCAGCGTTTCGTTCATTCTAAATTATAAAAAAATATATTGCATAATAAAAAGTTGCTTGTGCCGGTTTGGACTTTTGAAAGAGGAACTCCAATTCCTTATTAACTCTGTTAGCTTTGCCATGCTGACAAACCATATCTAAATATATCTATACAAATAAATAAAATTGAAGTGTCTGTTTGTAATGGCAAAATTACAGCTTTTTACTAAATGCATATGAAAGTATATACGGTACTAACAACAAAAATACAATTTTTAAAGTTTTTTTCTGTCTGTCTGTCTGTTCGTCTGCCTGTCTGTTTGTTCCGGCTAATCTCCTAAGCGGCTGGACTGATTTTGACGGGATTTTCACTGGTAGATAGCTGATGTCACAAGGAGTAACTTAGGCTATTTTTATTTTAGAAAAAGTATTGGAGTTCCGCGCCAAAAATTTAAATAAATTTAAAGTGTCCTGTAATGTTGAACTAACTGGCTTATATTATTAAGTTTATTAATCATCACAAATAAAATATGTATTAACAAATACTGTCAGAAATATTAAGTTACTAATTGTAATTGTATTAATATTTATTACGATGAATTTCATGCGTTTTAATTTCTACGTGGTAGAACCATGCTGCAGATATATTACTGGTATAGTTTGTAGCACGAATGGGTCGGTTCGACCGGGGAAGGACCACGCTCTAACAGAATACCAGCGTAAAATAGCAACTTAACACTGCTGTGTTTCGTATGGCGAGTGTAGAGAACCGGAGACCCTTTTTACCGGAAAAGAGGCATTCCATCTTAGTCCTCACGGGTGACAACGCATCAGCATTTTGATTCGCAAACGAGGATAAATGTAGATGTCTATGGGCCACAGCAACCACTTACCATCAGGTGGACTGTGTGCTCGTTTATCACCCTATCCTATAAAAAAAATGTATGTAATGGTGGATGATATTAAGTACGTAGGTAGGTAGAACATTCTACTAACAAGCAAATATTACATTCGATAACTACAAACAATGTACTCGTTAACACGATACCCTCCATAGTTAGCAGCTTATATATCATAAAGCTGCAGTATATTATTGATATAATATTGTTTAATTTACTACATTTTTCTCATCTTCATCAGTAGCACCCGTAAACACTCGATTGATGGCAATAGCCCTCTTCCGTAATGAGAACTTGCTGTACTCGTCACGCTCCAATCCACTCGGGATTGGCAATCACAGTACCAGACAGATATCTTACTGGATGGGCAAGTGAAATATATATCGTACCGATATTTTTAAACAGTATCGATATATCGTCATGTTTTGCATGATATACTAGGATAAGCTCTAAAATTTCATTACTGACAGATGGACGACGAAAAAAAAACTACAATAGCACATGAATGCTTTTGTAGCTGCTTTTGTTGCTTAATGTTTTGTCGATTAATACAAAATTTTAAAATATGTCGATATTGATACGAATTCGATACTCTAAATTAAATATCGAACGCTGTTAAAATATCGATATTTTCTCATAAAAATAACGATATATATCTATATTTTTTTCCTAGTCTATGTCTTACATCTTTGTCACTCTTTTTATTGCATTCAATATAAACAAACTTATTAATGCTTGGTCAACACTAGCCTTGATACAAGTCTATGTCGTGATTCTTGACTTGAAAAACAACTGGACTCGTTCAATTAAATCGAATGCCTTTTTATTTATAATTGTTATGATACTATTAGTATTTATAAGAAAACCTTGTAATTTATAGTTTTATGTTATTAAACAAATTGGTTATATATGCAGTACAATATACTTATTAAAAACAATATGTTTTTCATTTAAAAATATTATATAGATATTCATTTTAACATTACCTATAAGTAAGCTATTAAGTAGTCTGGATTTTGAAAGTTCGGTCTTATTCTCGGAATTGCTATTGATTCCAAGGTCCAGGCTGCAGTATACGTATACCACATATTGATAAACTAGCTTCGAAATTAAATTCTTCAATTTTCGATTCGTCAAGAGCTCCTGATCACGCAATAGCTAGATGTGTCTACTTTTATTACTTTCACAGTATCGTGTAATATGGTGTATTACTGTGGGGATTTGCAATCGGACTAGAAACAATAATCATTTTGCAAAAGCAAGCGATACAAGTAATCTATAACTTGGCGCCAAGTGTGGCAACTATGGCAAAATCTATATATCAATTTTTTATGGAAATTCTATAAATAACAGCGTTCTATAAAATAGATTAATATAAAGAACAATGATAACTTTTAATCTGCACTTGCAAGTCCCCTGACCACCTTTGACTACTGATATGTTGTTAAAATTGTCATTCAAAAATATTAATATACTTACATTTAAAAAATTCGACTACTGTCGTGAACCACTTCTCACACAAGCATTTTAAGCTTACCAGAAGTGGTTAAAGGGAATATTAGTAATGTTTATTAACATTACTAGTATTTAAAAAAAAATTATAAGGTCTCATGAATGTCAACATGTACATCTCTTCGGCAAACAAGACGTTTAAACGTCATGTTATGATTTCGGCTACAAATAATGATTTGTAGCCGAAATCATAACATGACGTTTAAACAAATACCCCTTCTAGCATAGATCATTATTTAAATGATATCCTTAAGTTTTGCCGGTTCTTCTCTGAGAAGGTCTTGTTTGCCGAAGAGATGTACATGTTGACATTCATGAGACCTTATAATTTTTTTTAAAAATACTAGTAATGTTAATAAACATTACTCATATTCCCTTTAACCACTTCTGGTAAGCTTAAAATGCTTGTGTTAGAAGTGGTTCACGACAGTAGTCGAATGGCGGATTCGAACCCACGACCTTTCGAGCTCGCGGTCCGCGCCCTGCCATTAGGCTACTGACGATTCAAAGTTTTGACTTTGATTATTTCGGGTTGAGACCAAGTCGGGCCAGTGTTTCAAGGCTCGGATCCCATGTGCACCAAGGGTAAAGACGGAATTGCCAGCATACCTTATCAGGTCGCCCCTGGCCTCTGCCCAATTTGAGAATGACTTTTCTTCCCTATAAGTACTTAGTTGGTTTTTCGAGTAAGATGCCAATTTGGTTTACTGAACTGTAAACGATGTCGTGACAAAGCAATTTATAGTGTATAACATCAAACTTTTGATAGTTTTGAACCTAAACTAAAACAGTTTAAAAATGCAGAAAAGTACGAAGAGTATTGCACGTGACTTCATCTACCGTAAACAATTTCTTAACTTGTATTGCGGTTTTCAACCCACCTTGTTGACCCAGAATGCTGGGAGGCTGTATAGTACGTACACTAATGCATTTAGAGAAGCTGTTAGCAAGTTAAGGCAAACATTCGGTTTTTAAGCTAATGTTTAATTATTAAATTAGTCGCGTAATCAGGTAATTGTTGCCTTAGTTAATTCCAGAGTAGAAATAAATGATTACGAGTAAACGTTGCTAGAATAACGTATGTTCGTATTCCCAAACCATGAATTAACAAGACCTTGGTTGTTGAATCATAGTTTGAGAATGCTAATCGATTCAAAAATTGCAC